GGGCTGGCTTAAGGTGATCAGCTAAGACAGTGGTAGCAGACCTTTAGGTCTCAAAGTGCCCTTTAGGACATGGCTCTGTTAAACATAAGAATTTCCCTAAAACCTCTTAAAAGGCTGAAGATACTGAAGGTCCCAACCATGTTGTCCTGTCCTCCTTTGCTAGGACCTCGCATGTTATACCACAACATAAGAGATTAACACATTCCGTGAGGATTTTTCCCTTACTCAGAACTCACAGTGGTCTATAAATGTGCCAGCTAGGCAAGCCACAGAACTGGAAATTCCCTTCTAGCCTGAAGGAAAAAGAACATTTTAGAAAACCAAAGAGAGATCCAGGGATTCACACCGTACTTCACTGTGCAGGGTGGGGAGTCTCTTGCTGTCTAGGAAGGGATGTATTTCTCTGACGTGGCCATCTGGAGACCTCTACTAGATATTATCTGGTTAAAAGTTGTCAAGCAAAAATTTCAACTAAAAACCCCAACAAACCCAACAGGAATTTTTAGTATGTGTATTTGAAAAAATTACAGACCACAGAAGTTTTGATACCTACTCCTTGTAATTAGGGATTCCTTCAGCAGGCAGGCACTGGTCCCTGTCACACGGCAAAGCTGCAAATGTAAGCACAGAGCAAGTGAAGGCTTAGAAAACATGCCCGATGCAAGCAGCACTGCTACATTATGATAATGCACATTTAAATGATGCAGGAACTCTGAAAACGCTGACACGCTCATATATCGGAGGTGCTCCTTAAAGCTTACAATTATTTTCCTTGTGTCTTCTTGTGCTTTGGGACAAGGACAATGCTGGACCATGGCCATGTGTGGTTGGTGAATAGCATCCAAGAGTAGAGACTGGACACATATTTGGGGCCATACGGTCACCCGATCATGACACGAAGGAGATCATCAACTCTCCTTTTGCATGGAAGTAGACAAGCGGGGTCAAATCACTGCTGCCAAGAAGTGTTTCTGGCTCACGGGCTCAGCTCAGAGTCCCAGACTGGGAGAGTTAATTCAGACTCCCATGGAGCTCGACACCTTTCTGATTATTTTCTCCCATCCCCAGACACAGGAGTGGAAGGGAGTCCGGGCTGACTTGTACGCAGAGGGAGCGGGGAGATTGCAATTCCCCTTGACTCAGCATTGCTGTTGTCACACCTGATGGTGCAACAGCGGTTTGGATCTCTGCTTCAAACCCACTGAGAAACTGGAGAGGGTCCAGCGAAGGGAGCCCTGGGGCTCAGAACCCAGGAGGGGAGGCTGGGGAGGGCGGGGGGAGCCGGGCTTGTTTAGCCTGGCAAAGAGGAGGCTGAGAGGCAATCTCGCAGCACCCACGCCTGTTTCAAGGGCAATTAGAAAGATGTCAGAGCCAAACTCTTATTGGCAGTGGCAGACAATATGACCGGGGGCAGTGGCTGCCGGTTGCACCTGGGGGAGTTCGTACTAGATGCTAGGAAAATCTTTTTCACAGAGCATAACGCAGCTCGGAACGCATTCTCCAGGAGGCTGCGGATCTCCGTCCTCAGAGGCTGAGAGCACAGCTGGCGAAACCCGCTGGAAATCCCATCTCATGTGGTGGTCCTACCTGGAGCAGAAGGTAGGACTGACCTCCAGCCGTCCCTTTCAACCAGCATTTCTAGGATTCTGTGAAAACATCCTCCTGCCTGTTAGTTTGAGTTTTTTTCCCTGGATAAATGCCTTTCCTCTGGCCCTGGGCACAAGGCACACCCTTTGACTCCTCACACTGTGAGTCTGCATTTCAGATTCAAAGATGAGTCACATGGATGCACGGAGGGCAAATACATCTGGGTTAGCATGAGAGAGTCAGGTACACATCTGGGAGGCTCAACTGGTGTGGCAAAAAATAGGCAAGGTGGCGGAAATTGTAAATAACTCTAACAGACATCCTCGCGACTTGTCTGCTTTCAGGTTTCTCCAGTTAATTCAGGGCTTACCGTCTTTGCTGGAGAGGATTGGCGCTAACAGTTCTTTAGCTTCTGATAGCAAAAGGTCAACCAGATCTGAAGATGGAAGAGATGTATCTGAGACTGCGTCTGTTCTATCCTCTTCTGTTTCACTCTTGACTCTTATAAATATGGAAAGTGCCATCAATACTTCTATCATAGAATGGTGATTGACAGTCCTGGCCAGCCCCTTGTGAAGGGTGTTCTGTGTAAATTCGGGGGGGGGGAGGTTGTGTTTTGATCGCTCAGCAGCACAGGGGACTCTCTTTCAGACATACTTGCATTGTTGTGTTACAGACAGATATCAAAGGGTTTTTTAGAATTTCTCAAAAGCGTTTTTCCTTTTTTTCGTTTTTCCATTCTTAAAAACTAACATTTTTAAAGGTGCTGGTCTGTCAATGGGACAGTGACCTTTCAATGATTTAATCAATTAAAAATACTCATAAAACTGTGATACATTTTTTTTTCCAAGTGATAGGAGATAAGTTCAGGCTGGAGGGGAGTCCAGGAGCCTGAACTCGTTTTCTGAAACCATTCATGGAGTAGAGAGTCCTCCTAGCTCTTTTCTTACTGGAGAGTCCTCCTAGCTCTTTGCTTACACTCTATCAGTTTCTGCAGTTGCTGATATAAAAGGACGTGGTCCTAAAGCCAAAAAGCCTGGTGTATGCTGGGAAAAGCAAGTGGGTCAAAACTCTGCTTCTTTGAAACCACCTGCTTATGGTCTCTGCTAACAAGAGCAACTTAACCAGGAGTGTTTCACCTCCTCACTCCCCAAAAACCCATGAACAGAGGCCAGTCCCCCCAATACCAGCCCACCAGCAGCCTCCAGATCATCTTTCCCCGGTGGTTTCACTTCCAAAGCATCAGGATTTTTAAAAACTCTGGGTAAGTTACGTGTGAATCACCTTCCCCTGAGAAAGGTCAGAAAAGGACATTTCATGTTCCTGTTCAAGATGCCCAGAAGCCATCTCCTACCTTTTCTCATCTGGTAAATGACAGGGTGTGCTCAGGACCTTGTGGACGTTCTGCCATGCAGTGAAAAAAACAAAAAACAAACAAACAAAAAGATAAAATAAAGGCCTCAAACTTGTAGGAATGAATAATTCCTGAGAACAAACCCCATGGGTTTTTCCTGGTGATCAGATTTAATATGACAGTAATCAGCTTCTGCTTATTCATTGCCCTTGAAGCAAATATCTCAAGGCCTTTTGCAACCCAAGCAACATTCGCAGCCTGTGCAAATACACAGACACATCCAAATGATGCATTTCAATGCCAACACTAAAATATCTGAAATGCAACATACAAATACTCTTCCAAAGAACAATTTTGCAGGCTATGTTTCAGTGAGCCTTGATCATCACTGCTAGCAATCCCCAGTTTCTGGATTGTCCCTGCACGTGTAAGCTCTCATGACCGTGCACGGTTAGGTAAATTCTCAAACGCTGCTGAGGCATGGATGAAAAAGGAAGATATTTTGCTCCAGTGGTCAAAATCCTGTGATGTTTGACCCTGGGGCCAAGTCAAACCCATTTCCAGAGCCTGACCCCAAACGGCACAGGCACCAGCACGCAGTGCTGCAGCTCTAGAGGCATTTTAATTCTTCCTTCTCCCAAGCAAGAGCACACAGCATCTGCGCTTCCGTTCACGCCACTGTTTCCTGTTGATTTCAGGAGCTCTTGGGACAGGCTGCTAGTAGCCGTAGCAGATTTACTGAATATTATCGATCCCGTGCTGGCCAGTTTACTAATTAATTGTGTTCCTGCTACAGGTAGGGAAGTGGAAGAACAGTCAATTGAAAGACTAAAGCAATTACGGGTGTGATTTTGCAGGAAATCTGGGGGGGAAAAAAGCACTGGAAGAGCAAACCCATTCTTCAAGTTCACATTTGTTGTGTAGAGAACCAACTGTCTGGTTATACAAAGGGAAGGCTAAACTGCATGATTTCCACCATCATGTCATAGAATCACAGAATCACAGAATGGTTTGGATTGGAAGGGACCTTAAAGCCCATCCAGTGCCACCCCCTGCCATGGGCAGGGACACCTCCCACCAGCCCAGGTTGCCCAAAGCCTCATCCAGCCTGGCCTTGAACCCCTCCAGGGATGGGGCATCCACAGCTTCTCTGGACAACCTGTCCAACACAGTTCCTCAACCAGAGCATCACAAGGGGACCAGGGACAGCAGAGCTGCCCAGCAAAACCTGCACCGCGGCGTTTACATAGCTCTTGGGTATATGAGTATATATGAGCTCATTCCTGAGTTTCTCCTAACCAACAGACAGGGACATTTTAGAATGAGACAGAATTAAAAAACCCATCTTTTGCTTATGGAGCAGGAAACATAGTTCCTCAACCAGAGCATCACAAGGGGACCAGGGACAGCAGAGCTGCCCAGCAAAACCTGCACCGCGGCGTTTACATAGCTCTTGGGTATATGAGTATATATGAGCTCATTCCTGAGTTTCTCCTAACCAACAGACAGGGACATTTTAGAATGAGACAGAATTAAAAAACCCATCTTTTGCTTATGGAGCAGGAAGTTATTTGGACTTGCAAAATCAGCCTGAAGGTAAGAGGCCACAGGGCTGCCACCAGCACCGGGAGGGGTTGAGCACTTCACCTGCACAAACAGGAGCAGTTTCCTATTGCAGATCTCCAGGCGCTTCCGTGAGACTTCTGATTTTCGTAACTGGCCGTCAGCCAGGGACAACTGTCTTTTCAGTTCCAGGATGTCCTCCTGCGCCGGGGTCAGAGGAAGAAGAGAAATGTGATGGTGAGGCTCCAGCCTTGGCTTTTGGAAGCATCAATTTATGACATTTGCTACAAGCAGAAAGCCATGGTCCTTTTGGGATGGACAGTGAAAATTATACAGATTATAACACAGACCCAGAGACTGTGCTGGCCTTGTGGCCACACAATGGATGATGTATGTGCTACGTGCATTTTCTCCTTTATAAATAGAAGGAGGGGAATGTGCAGAAGGGGGGACAGGAGGGCTGTGGGTTTTTTCCCAGGCGGAGGGGTTGCATTACCTCTATTTCAGAGGCGTGTTTTGCTTTCTTCCCTGCCAACTGCATCTTCAGTTCTGCAATTTCAGCTTCCAGCAGGTGGATGACTTCCTCATAGTCCTGCTCCGCGCTGTGAGCCTGTCTCTGCACCACCTCGGCCATCTGCAGCTTGCTGTGCAGCGTCCGGTTCTCGGAGAGGAAGCCCAGGGCTTTCTGGAAGCAGCGAGAAGTTCTGATCCATGCACCACATCCCCCTTAAGCCCCCAACCACCAAACCCCCCCCAGGGTCCCCAGCGATCTCTTCACTAACCTGGTTCAGCCTCTGAAGCTCATCTTCCATCGACTTCTTGCTGTTCTCCACCTCTTTCAGGAGAGACTAGAGAAAATATTTTCACCGGATTAGAAGCAACAAGCGGTAGGACATTCTCTAGAAGATCCCCTGGTCTTGTAGCCCCTACACACCACAATAACACAGCACAGAAGCAGTGGGGTGCACTCTCCCCACCATGGTGGTTTTTGGGCTGAGACCCGCACACCTGCAGAAACCCGCCCGGACACAGCCGCGGTGCTCACAGCCGTGCCGGCGATCTGCAGCCAGGTCAGGATGGGAGGGCAGGCAGTGCTTCTGTTATTTATGAGCTTGAATTATTTGTGAGACACGTTTTTGTATTTTTAAATATATTTACTCACTGCTACAAAGGGACTGCATACTTTCGGTACAAAGAAGTTTTGATTTGAGGTTGAGAGTGAGAAAGAGGCAACTAAGTAGAGCCAAGGGTGGGAGCCTCCTTGGAAGGAGGAATGCACAGAATGCAAACTGGTGACTTCTTAAGAGGGACAGGCTCCACCATTACCCTCGTGTACGACTACAGCGAGCTATGGCAGAAGGCACCAGCCAAGAAATCTGCTCAGAAGAGAGGCTCCACCTTTAGCCTTCGGACTTCTTGCCGCAGATCCATCATTTCCAGCTGCAGCTGCTCCAGCTCCTCGGTGCCATTGCAGTTGGGAGAGTCAAAGGTCTGCAAGGCAGAGGGACAGACAGCATCATGCACTGCTTGTGCTAATTTACCAAAAGCATGGGGCTACATGGCAGGAGTAATGTTTTCCATTCCCAGAATAACGATGAATCAAAATCTCTTTGAAAAGGAGTCGGCGTTTTTATGCAACAGATCAAAAGGCACATTAAATAATTCAACTGCAGGAGTTTTTTTCACCCCACAGGATTTCACTCTCTGATCGCTGACATAGCTGGAATAGCCACACTACCGTGAATTTGCATTTTGGGAACAACGTGAAAATAGCTGGAATTGATTAATTAGGGCTAATTTTCCTTCTGTATCACTGCCAGGCTGCTTCCTTCCTATCATCCCGCAGATATTATTTCCTTATTAAAAATGAGAAGTTTGAGGTCTTTTATGGAATTTCGTATAATCAAATCAATCAATGCATAGTTCTGCCTTCTCTTTCTAACTCTAAAACAACCAGAAAATGGTAATTTAGCTTTTCCCATCTCAGGATTTTATGGATTTCATGTAGCAGGTTAATGAACACAATGTAAAAGAGCATTGGACAGACTGACCGGCGAGTGAAAAGCCGACGTATCCAGCAAACTGGCCACTTCATGCTGCGTGAAGAGCATGGAGCTGGAATCCAGCCCAGCCTCGTCCAGCTCCTCCTGCATCACGTCCCTGAGTGCTTGGAGAAGATCTGTGAGGAAAAAAAAGAAGTTTTTACTGGGCTAAAAGAGAATGGCTCTGTGTGTTAGGGGAAAATGCCACTGATTTTGGGGACATCCACTGGCTGCCACGCAGAGTGGGTTTGGAGATGCCAAAGTCTTCTCTAACACTCCTGGGCTCTTTGGCAACCCCATCAAGCTTAAATAATTTGTTGACAGGCTTTACCAGACTCTTGTTTCTTATCCAATTTTAAAAAAATAAACTTTATTAAAATAGATATATATATTTTTTTTTCACAGTGGATTTTTCAGGACTGTTGTTCTCAAAGTTTTAACATTTTAAGCCAAACCCACATTTCTCTGACACAAGGCACACGCTTGCCTGCTGGCGTTTCTCATGCTGCCAATTTGAACAAGAAAACCCAACTCAATGACTTCAGCACTTGGAAAAGGTGTTAAATTGACAAGTCTGAAAACCCAGATTCATTTTGCTTTCAGCTGTGGAGGAAAGCACGACGCGAGGGGCTGCGTGGGACAGGGGTCCCAGCCCCTCCAGTCCCCAGCCCCTGGGCTGCAGCAGGGGCCAGACCCTTTCTGCACAAGCAGCATCTTTGCTGCCAGCACATTTGCTGAATACCCCAAATCATCCTTATTCCATTCCCACACCTACAAAGCCGGTTGCTCTTAGGAGGTGCACGGAGCTGTATCCCGTTGCTCTGCAGAACAACGTCTGTCCATGAGGCGTTGTGCTCTGCGAGCCTGTTCTCTCTGGTGGGGACAGTGCTGATGGCTTTGAGTTTTTGTGGAAAAAAAAAACCCAAATTCTGGGCAGCAGACTCTGCAGGCCAGGTATGCTCTGGCAGGTCACAGAAAGCAGAGCAGGCTTTTATTTTCTGCATGTCCTCTGGCCAGCTCTTGCTTGGCAAGTGACCTTGCACTGACTTTTTTTTAATTCTCCTTTTGTGTGTGCCTCTATCAAAAGCCATCTGTTGCATTTCTGAATTTTCTCAGCTGTTTTGAGGCTCAGTCACTATCCAGGTGGGTGTCTTACCTGCCTCTCTCCTGTCTCAGCCTCCAGCAAAGCTACCCAGAAGTGGAAAAGCCCGCCCCGTGCGGAGCTGCCCGCTCACCTCCGTAGGCCACCGTCCCCTGCGAGTCCGTGGTCAAGGTTTGTCGTAGCTGCCTCTTCTTCTCCTCGGTCACATCCAGACCGAGATACTGCAGGACCTTGAGCAGAAACAATGAGCCTTAAAAAAAAAAAATACTGGAAAAGCAACCCTTTGAAGTAGGTGCTGGGAAAACACTTGGTGCTGGGTTTTCTCCTGGAGGTGACTCTCCAGGCAGCATCTCCCATAGGAGCAGGCTTGGGCTGGATTTCCAGTCTCTCCTTTCCTACACGTGTACAGGAATGTGTGTTCCCAAAGACAGGTACACATTCACATCCCGCCAAGAACATTTTATACAGACTACAAGCAGATTTGCGAGTACGACAAACTGTCAGGAATTTTATCAAAAGCCAGTGGAGCTGTAGCAAGGCTCAGCTGCCAAAAGCTCAGCTGCTCTGGGTGGTGAGGCAGTGGCCCAGGTTGCCCAGAGAAGCTGTGGATGCCCCATCCCTGGAGGGGTTCAAGGCCAGGCTGGATGAGGCTTTGGGCAACCTGGGCTGGTGGGAGGTGTCCCTGCCCATGGCAGGGGGTGGCACTGGATGGGCTTTAAGGTCCCTTCCACCCAAACCCTTCCATGATTCTAGGATTCTCCTCTGTTTCTTACTGCCCAGGAATTGTGTCTGGATCCGAGAAGATAAAAGCTATTCACAGAGTATTTCCCGTGGCAACAGGAGACATTCAAACATTTTCCTTCTCCCCTGAGCCTTTTGCTCTCTCATTACGCCTGATTCTCTGTCTTCTGCTGATATTCATCAGTTCAACCCCAGGGCACCACACAGAAGCAGATAAACCTGTGCAAGCCCCGCTTCACTGCTGGCAGCAGCAAGAGGTTTTAAGAGCCAAAGCCAAGCTCAGCAGACTCTGGGAAAGAGCCCGAGTGAACCACTTGCCTGTCCCAGGCTGCACGCAGGGCTCCTGCTCAGCACAGCACCTCCTGCGTGGTCCCCTGCAAGGGGCTGCTGACAAGCCCTGGCTCACGTTTTCGTCCCCAGCAAGTCCATGGGACCCGTCTGCTCTCCCGCACCACCCGTGAGCCCCGTCTGAGTCCCAGCTCCTGCTCCCCTGCCTGTCACCCCTGTGCAAGGCGGTGCCGCAGGCTCCCAGGGTTTGGGATGTTGATGCTGGCTTCTGGCATGGGGCACCCCAAAACCATCTCAGGCTGTGCTGTGTGAGTCCTGACCTTGGCACCGCTGCGGCTGCCCGCTCATAACACTGGTTTTTAAAAGGGGAAGCCAAGTGTCCCCACTCCTCCCACCAAAGAGGAGCTGCTTTTATACCCATGACGAGCAGAAATTCCTGCAAAAATGCAAAAATCTGAAATCCTGCTTTAGGAGAATTATGCAAGCTTGGAAGGAAAGTTCCTGCTGGCGTGCTGCCCTCCTGGGAGGCGAGTGCTGGACCTGCCATGGGGTGGCAGCAGGTGCTCATCGCATCGGGCCCTCGGTGACATCCCTGCAGAAGGGGCTGTGTCCCCATGCTACCCGCTCCAATGCCAGCAGCACCCAGGACGGAAGATGCCCCCCAAAACCAGACCAGTGGCACAGACCCTGTAAAGGGAACTCTGCTGCTCACCAGGGTCTGGGTGAACAAATGCCGGGCTCCGCTCTCTGCCTTCTGCTGGTGCCAGTGGAATATATTTTCCATAAGCTGATGAAAGGAGCAGCGGTTCCGGCAGGCTCCTCGGTGAGATAACTCATGTCTCAGCCTTCTCTCGCCCACACCAGCCTGCCCCAGGTCACCCCAGCAGCGACAGCAGCACCGGAAAGTTTGGAGGGCAGCTGCCAGCACCTACAGCCCTGAGCCAAAGGCATGATGCCCAAGGGAGGTGCAACTGCCAGGAGGAGACTTCTGGTACTCCCCATAGAATTGAGAAATAGCCAAGATGAGCCAAGGTGTGTTTAAATGCACCTTCGGACACAATTTGAATGTTTCACTTCATCCTCTTCTCCCTTTTTACCTTTAGAGCTGGACCCAACCTCCAGCAGACTCAGATGAAGAGCTGGGACCTTTTTTTCCCCACAGGCTCTTGGTAATAAATACAATTTGGTGTCTAACTCATACATCCATCTCAAAAATCAGATTAATTAATTGTAGCATATGAGTAGTGTGATGCTAATAAGGAAGGCAATGTTCTGAGCTCTGTGCTCCCATCGCCTGTGCTATCGCTGTTCCCAACACACCCCAGCTGGCACCCCAGAGAGGTGACGGGGAATTACGCCGGCGCAGGCTGGTTGGTGGAGGATGGTGTACGTGTAGGTTAGAGCACCGATCAAGTGCTACAGCTTTATTCTGTGCAAACAGGCGGGTAGTTCTCTTAGACTATTTCTGTTCAGGCTTGCATTTTTTAATCCATCCAAAAACCAAGCAACATAGTGACCCCCGTGCTGGTACCTGGCCTGATCCTCACATGCCTGAGTGCAACACTGGTGCAACAATCAAACCTGAAAATTCTTGATCAGTTCTTCCACAGAAAAGCAATACAAGGAGACGATTCACATAGGCTTATGTTCTTTGCCAATAATGTGGCAAAGCGAGGCGGTAACAACACCAGTGGAGTATTTTCTGGACAGTGCACCTTGGGAGAGGATGGAGAGGAGACCTCGCTTTGGGGAGAAGGACCCATTCCACTTACCAGTTCCAGTTTCCCATCCTTGAGCCGGACGTGGGGATCCAGCGCTACTTTTGGTTTGGTGCCGGAAGCTGCTTTATGATTTGATGCTGAAGTGGGTGCTGAAAAACCAAAAATAAATGTTAATGGAAGAGCAGTTGGGTAGAGGAAAGAGGTGCCTGCAAAGCAAAATTCATAACTCTTGTTGCGTGCAATATAATGTGTGTGCAGCGGGCCAAAAATCGAAGACGAGGATTTACTAAATCCAGTCCTGGAAGGCTGAACTGGGCCACCGTTGAAAAAACTGGATACTGGGGCAAACCCTTACTGAAACTGGGCTTCTGAACAATTTAAAATAGGATGTTTCATCCAGGGACCTAGGACTGTGAAGCCAGCACTTTGGAAATGTCCAGTCACTAATTTTTGTGGAGTCTTGGGGTCTGCAGTTACGGTGATTTGTGGGGAAAAAAAAAAAAAAAATCTGCCTGGGTATTGTCCTCTCTAATTTATTAAGCAAAACTGAAACCCAACACTTTATAAGATGCAGCCTTGGCTTTCGTAACACCCATGGAAAAGGGAATTGACGGGTTAAAAATTATGTGGAAAAACACCAGTGCAAGACTTTTTCCCTCCCCAAGACTGCAAAAAGCCTCAAACCCTTTCTCCCCAGCTGGGCAGGCAGGGTTTCTGGGTAGAAAGAACCACATGCATTGTGAGGCAGACACAGACGGAGAAAGAGGCAGGAATGGCAGCTGCTTTGCTGGTGCAAAGCTGTCCTGAGTCCAGAAGAGCCAGCTGCTGACAGCTGGCGCATCCTCACCAGCACTGCTGTCACCGCTGAGATGGTTCAGGGCACCATGGCCTGGCACTGGTGCTCCTTCGTCCCTGGAGGAACCCCACCTTTTCCATCACCATTAACCCTCGTCCATGCAAAACCATGACATTCCCTGGGAAAAGGGCTGCAGAAGGCGTTACTAGCCTACAGGATCTCCAAGCCATGGCCAACTCCAACTTTGTGGCTTCTTGGGACCATTTGGGTTCAATAGACCAAGAAGAGCCCACCAACAACCCAAACACCCCTTTCTCCCCAAACCTTTGCCTCCAAAGACCCTGTAGACTCCCTCAGCACCCCAAATCCCCCAAATCCTCATCTTCAAGGGCTTGAGGGTCTCCAAGCCATTGTCAACTCCAACTTCAGAGCTTCTTGGAGCCATTGGAAGCCAATAAACCAAGAAGAACCCCTAAAAAAGCCGAAACACTCCCTTATCTCCCCAACCCTCACCTCCCAAGACCCCACAGCATCCCCCAGCACCCCAAAACCCCCCAAACCTTCCGAGCGTTACTGGCTCGGGAGCTTCCCTGCCAGACTCAGCAAGGTGCAGGATCACTGTGCCTGCTGCCTGGCCCTGCTGCCTGTTTACCCTCCAGCCATCAGCCCAGTCTGGGGACAAAATTTCTTCTCGTGCCAGTGGCACAGGATTTGCCCAGGGAGCAATTTCTTTCACCTGCCTGGGCTCTGGTTAACATCACGGGAAGCCCCATCCTGCCTGGTAACACCGCTTCTCCTGGACCTCTTGGGCACTTCTCACTGCACGCGCCTCGACTGCTGAGGTAGAGACTGGATGCAAGGAGAAGGCAGCGAGGAGCAGCAGAGGTGCTGCATGAGTGCAGTCCTCCTAATCCAGGTACTCATCTGCTCCGCTAACGCCGGCAGCTGGAAGCGGCAAGAGGTAATAAATGGGTTAGCTGGAGCGGCCACCAACACTTTACTTGCCAAGTTCAAGGGCAGAGCCGCTACCCTTCACCGCATGGCTGATCAGGATTAGCCCCACGTGGCTCGCTGTCTGCTCCGGACACAGAGATATCCAGGGCATCCATCGGGCACCCCCAGGGAGGCAGTCGCTGGCCCACGCTCTGCGCCTGGCTGCTGCTCTTACAAAGCCAGTTGTCTCTTTTCATGGATGACAACACTGACACAAAGCCTCCTCAGCACTTCACGTTAAAAAAACCGCCTGTAATAAAATCCCCTGGCTAAGGCAGGGAGCGATTAGGTCATTGCTATTCTCTGGATTCCCTACATGACCTAGGGCTTTGCTCCCCGGCACCCGCAGCTCTGGCTGTTGGTGGTGCCACCTCAGACCCTACCCAAAATCCAGGCTGCAGGATGCTCGGGGCAGAGGGGACAGAGCAAGGGCAGTCCCTGTCCCAGGGTCTCTGCCCTGCAGAGCGCGGAGGGTGGAGGCTGGAGCCTGCTGAGCTGGCCCAAGGTGAGACCAGTGTCCCTGGAGAGAGTGCTGACGCACAGCCAGCCCAGCACCGGCTGCTCCCTCCCAGGTATGGACTAAACACAATTTACCGTGCAGCGCTCGCTCTGAGCCTTCCAGATGGGAATTACAACACGGCACGGGGATTCACAAGAGGGGCAGGGCATGGGGAAGGAAGGACCGTTGGACTTGGGGCCATGAGGACGATGGGCTGTGCTCACCGGGGACTCGCTAGGGAAAGCCCATCGTTTCCTCTGGGCAGAGGTGACCTTCCTATCGCAGGGATATGGGGTGTATTGCTGGAGGTCATCTCCCTGGACGCTGGATCATGGGGGTTATTGAAGTTTCCTGCCATTCCTAAGGGACCTGTGAAGCCGTGGGGGGATTTGAGGTCACCCTGGCTGCTGACATCCTATGGGGTGAGCAGAGTCGGTCTCTCTCACAGAATTTAAGAGCTCAGTGCAGGACTCAGAGCATGGAGAGAAAACACAGCATGGAAAGCAAAAAGTGAAGCTTGGATGTAGAGAGAAATGTGATTTAATCACACGTATAAGCAATTTCCCAGTTTGACCAACTGAGGGCATCCTTAGTGCCTGTATAATGCCCAGGGCTGCCGTGTACATCACAACTGTCATTAATTCACTTTTTTATGCTGTGTCTCTGAGAACCACCCGTTCCCATCAGAAGGGAATGCTGCCTGCAGTGGGACCTGCTGGATGCAGGGCTGACGTGATCTTTGCATGCTGAGAACAGAAGGAGCTCTGTCCTACGAATACCTCAGTCCTCTGAGTGCCTTTGTATAGGAATGTTGCTACTATGGACAAACATGGACATAGTTACTACCTGTTGAATAAGCCAAGCTGCTGCCTTCCTTCTCTCCTCATGGGCTGAGTCTCATTATCGCCCCGTTAGATTCCACTACAGCGATATAAACACTGATCAAAATTAATTCCAGCATTCTCAGTTCCGAGGAGCCGAGGCTGTGTTTGTCACCCACACAAAGAAAACGAGAGCGGCACTCTTACCTGAGATGGTGAGCTCTGGTGGGCAAATGTCCGGTGACAAAGAAGGCACAGGAGAATGATTTTCACGTCTATTCTAGAAAAAAAAAAGACAAAAGAGCGCAGTCGCTAAGCAGAATCTGTTGGTGTAAAGAGCAGAAGACAGAGGAGTTCAAGAGGGAGCAACCCATCCGGCCCGTGAAGAGCAAAGTCATCACAGGCACCTCCTGCGTAGATGGGCTGGAAGAGAGTGCAGGGGTTTCTCTGGGAGCACTGGTCACCTTCCTGACCTGTCTCAAATCTCTGGTCACACGCAGAAACCCAAGTTTGTCGTTACTCTCATTGAGAGCCGAGGACGAACTGGACCTCGCATGCTTCCTCCATAGAGGTTCTCCCTAACGCTCTGCATCCACCCCACCAGTGAGGTCCTGAGCCCGACCGCAGCCAGTTGTGTTATTTGCCCAAACCACAGTCATCACAGTGAGTGTGATAGGAAGCTGAGACCATCGCTCACCCTTTCTTAAGTGCCAGGTCAGGGCTGAAAGCACAAGTAAGAGGGAAAACCAGCTACTACTGAGACAGCGCTCCCACAGCTGGGAGCTGACATGCAGCAAGGGGTACGGACTGGTGCTGAGGACATACAGACAGGTAGCGTGGGCACCTGAGCACGCTTTCCCTAGCACAGAAGCCCAGACCTCATTAAAGTTCCATCTTTTAGCAGCAAAGTGAGGAAAGCAGCAGTTTAATCGCAGGCAGCAATGTGATTTCATGTAGACGCACAACACTGCACCAGCACACCTTCTGCGGAGTGCTGAGGGACCTGACTGCACTGCTCAGCTCGACGTGTGCGGGCTAAGGCTGGCTTTCGTAAGCACCTCTCCAGCCTGGCACACCCAAAGGCAACATGTATGTGGCATTCCT